TTCCAATATTGCAGCTGGAGCCTTGATATTTTTCTTCAGTTCTTTCAGCTTGAGAAATATTGAGCGTATTCTTCCATTTTGGTTTTCTCACTCCAGGTCTTTGCACATTTCATTATAATAATCGATTTTGTCTTCTCAAGCTGCTCCTTAAAATCATCTATTCAGCTCTTTTATCCTGTCATTTCTTCCATTTGCTTTAACTACCTTCTGTTCAAAAGCAAGTTTCAGAGTCTCTTCTGATATCCACTTTGGTCTTTCTTCCTTTCCTGTCTTTTTAATGACTTTTTCCTTTCTTCATGGATGATATTCTTGATGTCATCACACAATTGATCTGGTTTTTGGTCACTGGTGTTCATTGTGTCAAATCTATTCTTCACATGGTCTCTAAACTCAGGTGGCATATAATCAAGGTCATATTTTGGCTCTCATGGGCTTGTTTTAATTTTCTTCAGCTTCAACTTGAACTTAAACATGAATAATTGATCATTTCCAGTCAGACCTTGGCCTTGTTTTGGCTGAAGATATTGAACTTCTCCATTGCTTCTTCCCAAAGATGAAGTTGATCTGATTTTTATGTATTCCATCTGGCAAAGTCCATATGTATAGCCACCGTTTATGTTGTTGAAAATGGTATTTGCAAAGGATAAGTTGTTGGTCTTGCAAAATTGTATCATGCAGTCTCCAGCATAATTTCTATCACCAAGGCCATATTTTCCAACTAATGATGATTCTTCTTTGTTTCCAACTTTAGCATTTCAATCACCAATAATCATCAATATATCTTGATTGCATGTTTGGTCAATTTCAGACTGCAGAAGTTGGTAAAAATCTTCAATTTCCTCATCTTTGCCTTTGGTGGTTGCTATGTAAATTTGATTAATAGTAGTATTAACTAGTTTTTCTTGTTATTGTTGTTGTTATGTCCCATCAAGTCAGACTTGATTGTAGCAACACCTCCTTGGGTTTCTGAGACAGTATCACTATGGAAATAGATTGCCCCACCTGCCTTCCGAGGAGTGGTTGGTGGATTTGAACCTCCAGCTTTCTGGTTAGCAGTCAAGTGCCTTAGGCACTATGCTTCCAGCATTCCTGGTAATTTTTCTTGTAGGTCTATGGATATTATTCTATCACTGACAGCATTATTCTTGACAGGATAATTCTTAACACATTTTTTTGTGAGGATGAATGCCACTCTATGCCTCTTCAATTTGTCATTTCAAACATAGTAGATCATATGACTATCTGATTCAAAATGACCCAAACCAGTCAATTTTGGCTCACTAATGCCTAGAGTATTGATATTTATGTATTCTATTTCATTTTTTGACAACCTCCAATTTTCCTACATTCATACTTCATACATTCCAGGCTCTGTTTATTAATGGATGTTTGAAGCTGTTTCTTTTCCTTTTGAGTTGTGCCACATCAGCAAATAGAGGTCCTGAAAGCTTTACTCCATCCCCGTCACTAAGGTCAACTCTATATTGAGGAGACAGCTCTTCCCCAGAAGTATTTTGAGTGCCTTCCGACCCGAGGGCTCATCTTCTGGCACTGTATTGGCCAATTTCATAAAGTTTTCCAGTAATATATTAGGTAGTGTTTCACTGTTATTCAAAAGGTTTGCACTGGCTAATTTTTTGAGAAGTGTATGGCCCCCTTCCTCTTCTGAGTCTGTCTTAGTCTGGAAGCTCTACTGAAACCTGTGCATTATTTGAAATACTGGTGGTATAGTCTCCAGCTTCACAGCAAAATGCAATCCACCACAGTACAACAAATTGACAGACTAGTGGCGGGAACCAATATATCATATGTTGTTGTTGTTGTTGTTATTTGCTGTTGAGTTGGACCCAACTCATAGCGACCCCTCCTTGTGTTTCTGAGGTGGTATCACTGCAGAGTAGATTGCCCAACCTTCCTTCTGAGGAGTGGCTGGTGGGTTTGAACCACCAGCCTTCTGGTTAGCAGTCAAGTGCCTTAGGCACTATGCTACCAGAGCTCCTAGTATATCGTATAGGAAAAGAAAATTGTGATCTCAGTTCATTCATACATTCAACAAATATTTCTTTAATGCCTAACATGTGGCAGACATTGTGCTCTGGGATATATGAGTGCACAAAACAGATAATTTATGTTCATAAAGGATTGCGTTCTGGCAGGAGAAAGATTTTCAACAAGAAATATAATAATTGTCATTACGTTATATTTAAAGGTGATAAGTTTTATGAAGAAAATAAAAAGCAAAGCACGTTAGGGAAGATTGAGAGTATGAGTTAGAGGAGGGGATGCATGTTGCAGCTTTAAATGGGATGGTCAGTGTTGGTCTTATTGAGAAATTGACAGGTGCAAAGACTTAGAGGAGACCTGTTCTCCTTGTTTGGGGAGACAGATATAAGTACTCCACATTGTTCCCCTAGCAATATTTAAAAATATATAAATTGCTTTAAAAGTACTTGGAACTTACTTTAACAGATGGGTGAAGACCAGTGTCAAAGAGAGCTTCATTTTTGATGATGTTTCCTACCCCAGGCAACACTTTCTGATCCATTAGCACATCACATAGCATCCGATCTTTCTGCTTTTTAACTTCACTTTCTGCTCTTGAGAAACTAAATTTAGGTGAACACACATCTAATTCTTGCATCATTCTTATTTTCTGTTGGCTTTCCATTGAGTTTCTATAAAAGGAATACAAAACACATTAATCCTAAGTTTGGTTACAACTTCACAAAGTGTCATTTAAAATAAGCCTTAATAAAAATACGAACAATTTCTATTAATTGGGGCATAATTGTTTACAGGCAATGAAGACTAATAAACAGTATTATTTTATGGTGCTATTAAAATGATATTTTATCAATTGTAAACCACTTGTTTATTTATTTTGTAACACTTGTGACATGCCAAACTAAACTAGATATCCAAGTTTTTCTGCTGAAGTACTTTTATTTTATTTTTACCTGAGTTCTACCGATGAATCAAAGAAACAAATCAAATCTTTGGTGAGTTGCACTTCAAAAACAGGAACTACTCCATTTTTATTTCTATACTGAGGTGGATTAATCAAGATGGAGCCTTTCATTCCAAAGTGAATCCTGAAAAGAAATCAAACCCTTTTTTTGAGCAGCTGAAAGTCTATCATGGATCAAATTTTTGTGTCTTTTTTTTTTTTTTT